AAAACAATTCTACTTATTTCATCCTATGAACGTTTACAAGTGTTGAAGCCCAACAAGCAAATAAGGCTAAACGGGACATAAAGATGAACATATAATTCAAAATGACAGAATTTAAACACAATACACATTAGGTATAGCCTTAAGCTAGAAAATCACCAGCTTCAGTGGTCGGGGTCCACATCGACCCCTTGCGTTGCTCAATTAAACATCTCCCCGGCGCAAGTCCATCCTTGGAATTAGATTTTGTCAAGTCGATTTCAACTGCTGGCCACATTCTCTGATTTTGGATGGCCCGTGTGTGTCGCCTTCCCACGCGGTCTCCTTGGCATTTTCCCAAAGAGCAGTCTTTTTAAACAAAGACTGTTTGTTGGGCTGTGCTGATTACTCGAATATTCGCATATTTAATCGATCATCAATGAAATGTATTTAAAAAAAACAAGTCTTCAAAGGCGATCAACTATCATTCCAATCATTGATCAACTTACATTCCAACAGCGGCTGTATGCATACGCCCAGCAGTACAGCCTAAAAAAATCGATTTCCCGTTTTGGTTTTGGTGAAAATATGCATTATTTGTTTCTACTTTGAGGCACAGGTGCTCTATATCAATATTGGAATATTCGATCGAAAGAGGGTTGAATACTGGAGTATTCAATTACTCGAACTGACTCAGACTTAATATACCTGGGTGAGTAAAGGGCCAAGGGCTGAAGAAGAATCCAAATACGGAAGACATAACGAGGATGGTCCCCGCGTGGATGACGACGACTATCCGAGAATTCCACTCGTAAGACTTGTGTGGCTGGAGGAAGCACAGGGCTCGATAGAGGGCGCTCCACCCGATGAATGATGCCATCGTCAGGAGCACAAATTCCGGCAGTTCCATGGCCGCTTTCAGGGGGTCGCTTTGTGCTAACTCAGAAATAAAAACGAGGCTGAGACTAAGTAACAAGAAACGTGAGTCTGGGTAAGGGCATTGATGACTGCGCCTGCTGTATACAAATTATGTTGAAGGCCACCCTGACGTTCTATATCATTATTGTGCACAGCTCAGTATCCAAGTATTTATTGATTTAAATATCGAGAAATACCTGGATGCGTAATTTAATACCTGTGCAGCGTCCCACGCGACAAATTTCCAACGATTTTGTTGTAAAAATGTACTCTCATTTTCCCGAACGCCCCCGTTCATTTTATTTTAAAGTTGTCCAAAACAATCTCCTTAAATGGAATTGGCGCGCGCGTGGCGAGCAGCGTGCACACTAGACTTGAGATCAAATTGTTAGTCGCTCATGTTAGGCGTCCAGAACAACCGATATGAACCAGCATGCTGCGTCGTTTTACCATTAGCGCTGAGCCTGTTCACCGTTGCCCGCGATCCAGCGTGCCCCGCTGATTCGGCCCTGATAACGATGCGTGGTCGACCGGTCGTGGGCTGCTTAGTGCCGCGTTTCGGTGCCTGCCTAACGACTTGATCAGCCTGGCTCTGGATGAATATTCATGCATGGAACAACTACACAGCGTATTCATGCATTTCCATGGAGAGCGCCAATAGTAGCTCACACTTCAGACTCCATTTTATATATAGGGATGTCTATATTTGATTAGTCCCAATTTCTTCCATATCTTGTATTAATATCTCTTTTAATACGACGCTTTAATTAAGACAAAGTATACATAACTATTCAAGAACAAATCTATTAACTATCTTTTTGGTAAAAGAACCGATGCTTTTATGATAAATCATCTTTTTAGCATAATGTAAACACCCTCTTCAATGGACGAGCTAGTAAGCGTTCAACAGACCTTTCTATTCACCAATTGCCCTATAGATAGATGTTCACATAATCGGGACTCTTAGCCAATCAGAGTGCCAATTTTGGCAGCAAGCCCCTTATGTTGTGCACAAAAGGGCTTCCACACTGCTCAAGTCGGTAATTGGGCACCGCCGAACACGCAAATTTGTAAGCGAAGTTGCATTGACCCATTCCCCGTGTTATTAAACTTGACGCCAAACCGCTACGCGTACGCATGGCGAGAAAAGTGGACTACACCCGGCCAAATACCGACTTGATTTCAAGTCTACGTTAACAAAGACTTTTGCTAATTCAAAATCGATTAAATTATCTTGTATCCAGGCACCATTGCGTTGTTTAATTTAAGCAACGGACATAACCACTTCTCAGCTGGCATTATCAAAAGTTAATACCGTACAGTCAAGTTGCACGTTGTTGAATAGGGAAATTTGAAAGGGCCCCTCAACTTTTTTACGGGGTCCAACTTTGATGAAGCTGGGTGGTCACCAGCATCTCCCGGTGCCGATGATTGTAGTTTCCAAGCAAAAGGTTCTTTGATGTGGGTTGGATGCATGCACATCAACGGTCGTTCCAATGATTCAATTTCATCCAAGCACGAAAACCTATACACCGATCTTGAATAGCTACAGGCTTCTGCCTTTTCCTTATTGTCTGGCGCTCCCCTCTTTTAGTGAAAGCTGAAACTGCCAGAGAGACACGGGCCTGATCTTGTCAGCACACTTCCTCCAAACGAGATACAATACAAGGTGCAGCCGTGAGCTTCGTATACATGCACATGTACCTAATTCAGCAATCTATCCAGCAAGATATGGGACGGAGGGGTACCCCCCTTACATGTCCAATCCCTATTCTAGACTGTTGTTACCTGACATATCCCCCTTAGATGTCTGTAAAGAATTCCTGAAATTCCGGTCAAACAATGACCAACACCGAGATGGGTGTTTGGAGGGGAGTGCTCTCCGTCTCATATCTTGCTTCATTTGTTCAGCAATTGCCGTGCAAAGCTCCAAACCTTGCTTTTGAAATACATGTAGACATTCACACTGCTTATATTTTCATGCAGCTTCCTGCTGCTCGACAGGTCCAATGCATTAATTATCCAAGATATCGTTCGGTTGACTTACATGTATGATGTAAGTTTTCTAGAACAAGGAGGAACAAATAGTTGGTATACATGCATTTAAAAACAAATTCTCCATGTCTAGAAGACGGCCAGCCTAAACTTATCTCAACGAATAAATGCTGATTATCCCAATCCCAGCATGCAAGCTTGTAATAAAACCTTACCACACTCCCCGGTGAATTTGTTATCTTAATCATTAATCAATATTACTGACGTACATGTATGTGATGTTTCATGATCCACTAAGCCAACTGCGCAAGTGCATTATAATACTGGCATGTGCCTTTAACGACTTCATACTCTGCATTGCCTTTAAGAGAAATTATAATGTCACTTTTTGAAGTGATGATCCTTCAATCTAGGGTATCGTCAATATTGACAGTTCAGCCTGGCACCGACGCTGTGGCTCCTGCAAAAATGCACTTGTTTCACGCGACAGGATCAACGAGTACGTTGACTGGGAAATAGCTGGGCACCCTTTAAAATGCTATAATGAGACGACGATCGTAACATTATGCTTCGTGCTCTTCATGCAAACTCACGGTACAGAGAGTTGACTACGCTGTATATTGTATGATTTAGACCACGGGTCAGACCACGTAGCCTGTTAGTTTTCACCATTGTCTTGACCGTTTTAAATACATTATCTATAGTACAAATCAAATGGGCATCTGTCATTTACACACGCATTGCACATGCCTCAGTTTGCTGTTAACCCTCCAGCAAAATAGAAGTAATATATTTTGTGGACCATGCTATGACAATACATACCTGTGCAGTCTTGGCTTTCGCTCGTCACGGATAAATCAATAACATAATCGTGGGACCAGTTAGTCTACTTCGTACACCGCGTCACGCTTGCATGATTATCATCAGTGAAAATGCGGAAGAGAAAATGACAGCATGGCACGACCTCCAAGCTCAATCGGAGGCTGGTCTAGTGTCCAGAGTTGCCCAAATCATGTTGAGGTGGAGATCACTGAATGAAACAGTAGCGATTGGGCACCATGCTCTTGGGGGTGTAAGGAACATGCACATCGTCTACAAGTCAAAAATACTGGAACTCATGGGTTTGAAAATGAACAACCACCCCCTTTCTGATGAGAATAACTTCTGGTTGCGTCTAGGGGAGAGTATCACCTAGCTGGTCATGAATTGTGGGTGCATTTGTGGGTCCAAATGTGATTGTGGGGCTTGGAGGTGGACTCGGTGAGCGAGGTGGCTCATTTTCATTCTGTGTTGTGCCAATTCCAATTTCATTCCCTACGTTTAAAAAAGGCAAGGGCTATTCACCTGAGTCAGAAGACTCGATGAAAATCGCTTCCCTTTCGTTCTTTGGCTTTTCAGTCTGATTTTCAAGGGTTTTTGTCTTGTGTGTTGTCTTCAGATAGAATCTCAATACAGGCATTTTGGATTTCTCGTATAGCTAACCCACAGTTACTTCATCACTCATGGATTTCTGTCGAAAATCACAAATATCAAATTCATATTCAGATTTGCTCACATTATTGAACTTATGGTATATAAGCCTGTGCCCCCAATCCAACCTTTCACTGTATAAACCTCTCGTCCTTCCCATATTAAAGTATCGTGTACCTGCCTGGCTCCCTCAGACAAGAAAGCAGGTTGACACTTTGGAGAAAGTTGAAAAACGTGCGACTCGTTTTATTCTTGGCCAGAAGCTAGGTGTGATGAGTGACCCTGATAGGTTAGTAACTCTGGGTTGGTATGACTCATCTTGTCATTGTAATTATGCTGTTCTCTCGTTTGTCTCAAAGTGTCTATTCAATATCGTTGAATATAACGAATGTGTCGACGATGTTTTCTTAATTCCCGCCATGTTCATGATGTTTTGTTTCACCACCGGTAAACTAGGACCTAATCCCTGCATTTCTCTTGTCTCCATGCTTTCCCTCGATTTTGGTCAACTCTCCTTGAACATGTTCGGAATGATATTGATTTACAGCTTTTTCAACTTTTCTGCGCACTCTTGGAAACAACGTCCTCTTTCCATGAATCCCAACCCCATTGATGTACATGTTCTTTTTCAAATATAGTATATTACTAATTAAGCCCCCTCTCTGCCAATAAAGTTTTACATGTTTATCAGATTTGTCGGAGACATGTACCTATTATCTTGTACGTGTATTTTTCGTATTCATTGTGTCTTTATCACTAAATGCTTATTTAATTTAATTTCTTACAACATTTTTATTCCTTTCCACTTTTAGTTCCACTTTTTTTCATTTCCAGTGAGTTCATTTCTTTTTATGTTTAACTAGTAATATTTTCTTATATTTCATTTTTATAGATTCTTATTTATTTTCATGTATTTACTTTACACATCTTTTTAATCAATATTTAAGCCTCCTGTTTGCCAATTATTTTTTAAACCTTCATAAAATTTATTGCACACTTACCTACTGTTCTCGTACACATGTAATATTTTGTATTTATCGTGGCATTATTTATTGTGTCTTTATCATTAATTGCTTATTCATTCAATTTTTTTCAATTTCTTATTCAATTGCGTACATTATCTTTATTCATTACCAGTAACTCTTTTTCTTTTACTTATAAATTCTAACCTTTGGCTTCAAATACTTTTATATGTGAGTATTTTAATTTATATTTATTTACTTTGTACACAGCTTGATGGCGAGTGGCAGGTCCTTGGCCACAGTGATTGTTATCGCCTCTCCTATGACCACCTTCGATGTGTTGAAAAAGAAATGGCATGACCAAATACTACTACTACTACTAACAATAAACCCGCCTGTTCAAATGTGACTCAAGTTTTAACTGTCATCCTTTAAATAACAGTAGATTATATTGTCAATTGGCATTACAGAAGTTGCTGTTTCACATTCCATGGTCAAAATTTTTCTCTGTTTACCAACAGGAGATTCTTACGGAAGTGTATTAAGGACATGGTAGAAAATTTTAATTTGTTTACATGCACAGATACCGATAAATGCAAAATACTGAATTCACAATAACTAGCAATGTTTTTATCGGCACGTTATTCATTTGTTTTGATAAACTGGAGAAATGGTTTGAATAAAATTAGAATGACCGTGGACCTATTTCCTTGTAAATCTGGTCTTATTTTGGTCGGTGGTTTAATGTTGTCTTATCAATTTTTAGTTACTAGATTATCTTCTTAAAAATAAAATAAAATTATGGTCTCCATCCGCATATATGGATATTTTGTTTTTCCTCATCACAATCAAAATGGTCCATCGCCACCTCAAAAAGTGGTGGAAAGGCTCCAAACCCCGAGATTTACTTCCCTGCCCTAAAGTGCTGTTAACGTGAAATGGTGTTCATCTGTTATAAATTCCGGCATCAAAGATCGCATTTGTGTTTATTTTCTCACATGGGCCCCAGGCTGGACCAAGAGAGGGCTCAGTTTTGATGCATTCGAAACCAGCATGGCTCTTTTCAACCGATGAGGGGGTGCTGCTGCTCGAGGCGAATATGTACGGACAGTCCTGAGAAGAAGAGCAGTGATTTTACCGTTACGCACACTGTACTTTGACTGTTCCATTTGAAATTTGGACATTACTAAGCAGCCCCTGCAATCCCAAATGTCAACTGAAATCGCCTGTCAGTTTCTTTCACTAATGGGATAACAAAACAAGCCCCCCTCATTTTCAAAGAGCGGTAATCTTTACAGCGCTGTATATATACCGATGTATATATACAGCGCTGTTCACAGGCCTAAAATACACAACCTTTTTTTAAAAATTGCATTATGAATTAAGGTCATACCGTTGGGATGACTCCAAAGACTCGGGTTATCAAGGTCCTGCTGGAGAGTAGAAACATTAGCGAATGATTTCAAAAACATTTCCCGCGTTTCTTTTGTCCATTTATGGATGGAGGAGTGGTGCATTAAGAGTTTGAGAGAGAGAGAAAAAAAAAACAGTCATCCGAGCATACATACCTTGACTTTGAAGTGCCGCAAAATGGTCGAATTCAGTGGTAGGCTCGTCTGATTTCCTGTTTCAATATGAAAGTAAAGTCATGGTGCAAATGATTTTTATAAATGCAAAAGTAATAGAAGGGTTGCGTGGAGCGCCCTCACAGAGGATGTTTGTTATTTCGATTTATATGACAATGAAGTACTACTCAAGCATATCACAGAGGAATAAAGACCCGTTCTCTGTGAGGGCGCTTATTTGTTTGTGATTATTACTATTTTTTTCGAATTGGTGCCTTCATGCATCAGTGTAATTACCCCAAACAACCCAAATTTATCTCTTCAGTAAATGTTTACAACAAGTAAACATATTCCTCACAATGTTACAATACAGCATGCAAACTGTTCCGTGTAGGCCTACTTTTCACGCTCTAAATTTGCTACAATAACAAGCTTGAAAGTTCAAAACTTTGCAATACACTGGATACATAAGAAATTATACGGTCATCTTGTTCAAATTCAAACTTAAGACCCACTTGCAAAATAATTACTTGCGGGTTCACTTGTAATATTCATGTCTCTTGCAGTAATCTGTATGTTCTTTTATTTGTCTGTACTTTTCTGTGACAACTGTCACTTCATTAATTTAAGGTAGATCTAGAGTTTATACTCATTATTATTATTTTTTATTATAATTACATAGAGTTGATATGACGATTTGGGCAAAATGTCGATGGAATCGTATGCATTTTCAAATTAATTAATTAGAAACGGGCTGGGATTATTGAGGGGGTGTCATATATGGCATTTTGAGGCTCCCGTACATGTATTAACATGCCGTGTGTGGAACGCACAGTAAAGCACTGCCTCTGAACCTACGCCTGAGTACACGAGTACATTACGGGGGGGGGGGTTCAGAAGTTTTATTTTCGTCCAAAGGGCGAAGATTACTACGTGCAATTGTCGTTACTGATGAGAAGCCACTTAGTCTGATAGTTTGTCCTTGTAACCGAACACTGGAGATAATTACACCCCTACATGATTTATGCTTTTTAGGGAGTCTTACAATGTTTAGACCTTTAGGCCCTTAAAGATAATAAATAAAACATGTCAACGAGCGGATTCGAAGGGGTTTGACAACCACTGCCACCCCCCTCCACGTCACGGGTCGTAACCACTTGCCGCCAGAAGACTGTGCCTAGTCAGCCAGCAGCCTAAATTGGCGCCCAGAATTGGACTGACGACAAACCTTTCCAATGAAGTTTTGAGCATTACTTACGTCTATCCACTGGACTAAATAATATTCTCTCAGGATGACTGGGAACCGATGTTCTATTGTGTTGATTAAGTTTCCTTCACAACCCAGACTGGAAGTGCCTTAAGTTGCCAACACCTACAACGGGACTTTTCTACTTACTGCAAGTAGCTGCCCTACATGCTTTCTTTCCGTAGACGTTTCTGTAGTGCGCGTGTGGCACGCAGCCTGGGTGAAAGCGGGTACACTACTGTCCATCGTTTGCAGTAGGCCTCTCCAAAAAGTAACCGTGGCAATCAAAAGTATAGTTGAAACACTTTCTATACTATACATGTGGGTTTAAAGATATATGCAGACTATGGACTAAACTCCTTTTAAAAATTATACTTTCTGGCAAGGTGTCGGTTTGAAGAACGCAATGACAGGAGGCCATTTCCGATACCTGTTTGGAAATTGTCGTCAGTGGCAGAGTTCAAATTCGGCAAAGCACGACGAGCGTTGTCACGACACACACGCCCCAAACGGTTATTGTTGTCTGTTCACTAAGCTGTCGGCGGATGAATGGGGACGTGTCCAGGCTGGAAAATGATAATTGATGCACTCGACCTTCAACTGATTGCATTTCAACATGATTCACTTTATTTCACTTTCGGATCGAGGGTCATTAACAGTGGCGTAGCTAGGATTTTATTGGGGGGGGCACCAGCATATTATGGGGGCACCGGCTTTCAATGGTATGATTATTCGGGGGCAAGTTTTCGTTAGCCTTGTTCAATATCCATTCATCTTTTTTTTAGTGGGGGGGGCAACGGAAATTTGTGGTGGGAGGCACGCGCCCCCAGCCCCCCCCCCCTTCCCGTTGTTACGCCCTTGGTTGTAAAGACTTTAATATACGTAGTTTGGGAATCCCAATCCTGTGGAGTCTCCCCAGGTCGCATACACGTGAGAAAATTTTCCACGAAAGTCCATAGCGTGTTAAGTCGGGAATTCCCCGGTTATGAACTTTGACACGATCGGGAGTAAGACGCTAGATGGCATGCAAAATAAAGTTCGCAAAAACAAGGAGCTTATTTTAATATGCGCATGCGTCACAAAACCAAACCGTCGTTCTTTAAGCCTTGCCCTTGTTGGTGCTCGAGTTCCAATTATCATTCGCCAATATATTCTGGAGCACCGGCGGCATAACGTGATTATACGACGAGCGCACGCCAGCTTCATCGCGACGCGGCGACCAGATGCAGTGCCCTCATCATCAGACGTGTATTTTCAGACAGCAAGCTGCGGCAGTAGTTTATTCTTCCATGAGTAGAGATAGGAACTTGAAAGTTAAGTGATAAATTTGGCTGTACTGTTACTCGGTCTACTAGGCCCGGGCCTATTTTGGTAAGTTTACATTTAGATTTTGGCGTAGCCTACGTCTCACGTACCATGAACACTGATGAACATGATGAATCGTGTCGTGGACATGCCGCATTTTGGTCCGAATCATGAGGTGCCGATCCACTCAATTTCAATGCACACTTGTTTAGCACAATCTTGCGCAAATTTATACTCCCGACAGAGGCAAACCAACTCTGGATAGAGTACCGTAGATTCAAGGTTGTGCTGAACAGACTGCTGTGGGCATACTGGGCCTCCATGTATGATGCAGACTACTAGCAAACCCTCCAAAAACCACGTGGAGCATTTCATGGCATTTGGGCCAATTGTTGCTGGACCTGTAGTGTGCTTTGTGCTCTGTGGACTAATGTTGGTCTATTTACACCCGAAGTACATGTAGGCAGCTTTGCATTGTCATCATCATAAGGCACATGTCCTCCAGCAGCTCCATACACCCCCCCCCTTGACATTTTGAAATTTATAAGACCTGTAGTTTACAGGTTCGCTGTGCCTCCATGAAAAAGACATTCACCCCTGTCTTCCCCCTTAGATACATGTACATGTATTTACGGTGTCATAGTTAAGCCATTGCTACAGTGTTGCTTGATGTATGACTTACATGTACCAAGTTGCAGTGACATGTATCAGCCGGTTGCATTTGTTGACCTATGCAGTGCAAGCATGGTTACCAGTGGGGGGCTTACTGGCCAAAGTAAGTTACAGGTACGGGTGTCAGTGACTGGCCCACGCTGCGACCACAATGCCGTGTTTTACAGTGTGCATATGACAGTGGATTTTCATTTGATTGGCTTGACCCCCCTCTTGGCAGGAGCAGTAACATGGTGTGGTGATTGGCACTCTGCCAGAAAGCATTCTTCCGATTTTTTGCAAAAATGAAAATATGTAGCTGTTGTGAGTATGAAGGGTTTGCAGAATGCATCATCTCACTGGTACTGCGGCAGTCTTTATTGTTGACCTACATGCATGTACATGTACATCTTCCAACAACTTTGATTTCCAATTCTTATGATTTCTAGGACTAAATTCATCAAATTTCTCATCTCTGTTTGCCAATTGTGGTGTTTTCACCTTTTAGATTGTCGGGCAAATCTTTCTTCGGTAGTTACGTGTAGAATCCACTAGCAAACATGGCAGATGCTTCCACCTCGTCTTCAGCAAGGGACGATAAGCCTACCCAAGAAACAGGTGTGTACATTTTGTGGCATAAAGTCAGTAAATGGGGGATTGGTAAGTAGCTGCTCACATTTTAGCAGTGTCACGGTTTCTCTGGTGATGGGATTTTCTGTCATGTCTGAGAGCTACACAACATTTTCTTTGTGTGGAGGCTAGCGGGACTGAGACCAGAGAGTTGTCTCTGTTTTGTACTAAAGTTCAGTGTCCATTTTAATGTCAAATATGACATATACACTTTATTGCAACAGGGATAAAGAACTTTACTAGAACATGTACATTTACATGTACATGTAAGACTGTACTACTTTATTAAAACTACGGCCTACATGTACATGCCTGTTGATATTTAAGTGTAAAACATTTTTGGGTTTCGAAGCACTTGCAGTAAATGTATAAACGCAGGAAAAAGTGACCCCCCCTTTGGTGTCATGTATTCACGCCAAAAAGCCAGCTTACGGGAACATGTATGTAAGTGGGTATGAAGGAAGATTGTTGCATGGTAAACATGGAAAACAGGACAGTGTTGCAGTCATACTTTTTGAGCACAAGTTCACTGCAAAATATTGAAATGGTTGGGACGGACCAAAGCTGATGACTTCTGTGAAGAACATGGGTATTGGATGGGAATTGCTCATATTTAAGATAATAAATCAATTCAGACCATTACTATGCAATTGAGATTTAAGTTTTTATAATAAAAGTACTTGAAAAGTACTCAGGTGAGTGCTTGATCATACCCAAGGTACTTAGCCTTGTGGGTGCCCTGCTCAACACCATGGGGACAAGGTTGTGTTATGTGTGATGTCCAACCATGAGGGTAACATGCATTTTTAATCACCCTGTCAGGTAATCGTTCTGGGCTAATGAGATCCGAGACAGAGGTATAACAATCTCAGTCTGGCTTATTATGAGGATGTTTCAAATTTCAATTGTGCATTAATGAGTCAATTACATTGAAGGGTTTGTAAACACGTATCTATTAATTGTCAATTTCTGTTTTTCAATTTTTAGGAATGACAGATGAAAAACATGACCAGCGGGTGATTACGGTAACATTTGATTATTGTTTCATGGAATTATCTGTTTTATACTGTTAACTATTTCTGGATTTTTAGACCAGGATTTGTGCCCGTGGGATACATCGAAACGTGCTTTGCAAATTTGCAGGTCCATCCAAATCCGAATGGTTTTTGAAATTATCAGTGTCCTTTTAATATACATTAATTTTTCTACGGATTACTCCCTGAAGCAGGCTTTTGATGACCGCATTTTCTCAGTTTGCAGTGTTAGTTTAAATCTTGCATTTCTACATGTTCTACATTTCTTGTGTGTAACTTCTTTTCGGCACAGATGATCGTGGATGCAGAGAATCACCTGCTGAAAGGCATCACGCAGGTCAATGAGAAGGGTGTACAGTCCACCGATCCACTCTCTCAGATGGAGGAGTTTTACCGAGAACAAAGAAACCTTACTGCATTCAAACTTCGCTTGAATGAGTACAGGCTGAAGGTGATTGGCCTGGAGAAAGAGTCCCACAGCAAGCTGTCCGAAGGAAAACTAGAGTGGGCGTTGAACAGAGGCCTGAGACAGTGGCTGTCCTTAAGACGAGAAGTCCTGCTAGAGGAGCAGAACCTCCAAGTTGTCCGTCAAGGAGGCAGACATGCTCATAAACTCTCGGTGCCAGGGCTTGGGGAAGAAAAGTCATTGGACGCCCTCAAACGTCTTAAGAGGGCTGAAGCCTCCCTGGCAGATGAGCTGATGCCCATCCCAAGAAAAGACGAGGGAGAGTACGTATCCCTTGCTGAAAAACATGTCATTTTGTTTCACCTGGAGCAGCTCGTGTGGTATCAGAGAATGTGGGTCTGGAATTTGAGAGAGATGCTTGAGGATAGGGCCCCAGAGGTAGCTGCAAAAGGACAGGAGGAGCTCATCGCTGAAATGGAAGAGCTCGTCACGGAAATGCACAAGGTCGTCAGCGCACAGAGAGAATTGGTCCAGATGGAGAGAGATTCCCTCGGCCAGAGACGAGAGACTGGTAGACAGCTTAACATCCCTGACATTCCGAGCAAGACGGCAGATGTAAAGGAGTTGGTCCAACTCATTTCCGAGCAGATCCGCTTGACGGAGGCCAGCCCAGTTCACAGTTGCCTTGGGGAGCTGCACCGCACCGACTTGTTGATGGAGGATTTTGCCTGCATCAATGTCCGTTGGGAAGTCATCTTTGAGCATGCAAGGACCATGAGTTCAAGACAGCGCTTGCTGCAGAAATCCGTCGTGGAGTCAGCCGAGATGCTGAGACAGCAAGTGTATGCCTTGGGAGTAAATCACCCAGAGATCTATCAGATCCTGCCCCAGGCTTTGGATCTTGAAGGCGGTATTCTGCTCAAACAGATAACATTTTGGGGAGAGGTTATCCAGCAGTATCACTTTCCTCTTGGTGTCTTACATGTAGGTAAGCGGCTATAGCCATGGAGAACATGTAGAGCAAAAACAATAACAGTTTTCCCCCCTTGATGTACGTTTATGTACCTTCCTTGTATTGTTGCATTATCTCTAGTAGGCTGTTGCAATCTACATGTATGTAGAGACTTTTGTCAAAAGATGAAACATATAAATAGATGTTAAAAGCACAAGATAGAAAAGGCATTGCATCTTCCTCTGGACTGAATGTACACACGGTTATATGACTTTTTGATCGATATGAAAATGTACATGTACATGTGTACACACCCCTCCGAAGTTGGTCAAGGGAAAAACTCAAGACCACAGTCCATACAGTTACTTGTTCATAACGTTGAAGTTATCCCTGATACACGTAGCATGCATGGTTGAAGTGTAGAAATGAACATTACACTACGCAGAGGTCAGTTTGAAAATTTGTCTTTTAGTTGCTCAGTCTAGTCGAACTCCTGTACTGGAGAGCACTTCTAGTATGCCGGGACCCAGTGCAGAGGTTGTCAAGGCAACAACTACAGGAACCTTTGATGTTCCAGAGAGTTACTCAGAGAGTTATCCTGAATTTCAGGTGAGTTGTGCCTACCAACACATCACTTAACGTTTGTCATGAAAAATGGTTCTCCTTGGAAGAACCGGCGAGTGCGAAACTACATTGTATCATGGACCCAATTGTAGCCTGTGTGTAGGCAGTCCAATCACTGATTCCGTGGTGGCCATTCGACTGCAAAAGGAAAGGTCATGTGACTAAACAGAGGAAACCCCAAGAGGAAACATACTCTGAGTTCATGCTGCATGCTGCACTGTAAACATGAAAGACCAAATGACACGAAAACGAAAGTACAACGGACGTGGTTTATTGTTTTTTTTCTTTTCTATAAACAGGCAAGTCACTTTTTATTGAGAACTACATGTATGTGCAAAATGATGATTTTTTTCCCTCAACTGTTGCCAACTCTGGACCATATAAGGAAAAAAAAGAAGGGAAATAAACACAGATGTTGTCACCGTGGAAGAGTTGGTTTCGATCATGTACATACACAGTACCAGTGCATGTATAGCTCCATGACTCATGAGCTTTTCTTTGCCAAAATTTGAATAACTCATGTTTTTACCCAACATTCCTTTAGGCTTTGAGTAACTGAGGTTTTACTGTAGTATATTTACAAGCCGATACATGTACATGCTCTAAAAAAACCTGTTGGGATTATGGGTTCGTGTGTCCAACATGATGTACACGTGCGCAACCTCAAATCAAGATACACTATTAAACCTGCTCAATACCCAAAGGGACATCGCATTTGTGGCACCATATTATGGGCAGGGATTTGTTCCAGGTAAAAAAAGTTGTCATGGTTGTGGCACCATATTATGAGCAGGTATTTGTTCCAGATACAAAATGTTGTCATGGTTGTGGCACCATATTATGGGCAGGGATTTGTTCCAGGTAAAAAATGTTGTCATGGTTGTGGCATCATATCACGGGCAGGGATTTGTTCCAGGTAAGAAATGTTGTGATGGTTGTGGCACCATATTATGGGCAGGGATCTGCCCCAGGTAAAAAATGTTGTCATGGTTGTGGCACCATAATATGGGCAGGTATTTGTTCCAGGCAAAAAATTTTGTCATGGTTGTGCCATCATATTATGGGCAGGGATCTGCTCGAGGTAAAAAAAGTTGTCATGGTTGTGGCACCATATTATGGGCAGGGATTTGTTCCAGGTAAAAAAAAAGTCATGATTGTGGCACCATATTATGGGCAGGGATTTGTTCCGGGTAAAAAATGTTGTCATGGTTGTGGCATCAAATTATGGGCAGGGATTTGTTCCAGGTAAAAAATGTTGTCATGGTTGTGGCACCATATTATGGGCAGGGATTTGTTCCAGGTAAAAAAAAAGTCATGATTGTGGTACCATATTATGGGCAGGGATTTGCTCCGGGTAAAAAATTTTGTCATGGTTGTGCCATCATATTATGGGCAGGGATCTGCTCCAGGTAAAAAAAGTTGTCATGGTTGTGGCACAATATTTTTGGCAGGGATTTGTTCCAGGTAAAAAATGTCGCGGTTGTGGCACCATATTTTCATTATGTAGTATACAGTATTTGTAATGGGATGTGATCCATTATTAGGAAATTATGCACATGTGCAGCATAGAAACAGCTTACTTTTCTGATTTAATTGAAACCGTCAATTTCCGAGTTGTAGAAGGCCTAAAAGTCAGAATTTCTATTTTCTATGAAAAAGTTGAAAAAATTGAGAAGTTCTGGCAAAATGGGTGCTTGAAAAGGGCACTGTTGGCTATGTCACCATGGCAGTTGTGAGACACATGTACATGTGTATGCTTGTATGTACATGTACATATAAACATCTCCGTCAGTTTGAAAGCCAGTCTTGCTCTTCCTTATAGACCAAGAGCTACTCGTACCCTCTAGAGCTGACTGATCCCACTGACTTCTTTGCCTCCGATTCAAGCTCTGAGTCATCTTCATCATCATCATCATCTGTTCCAGCGAGTCCAACAGCCATCGAGAGTGAGGGGCTGCCTCAAGGCAAGTTACCAAGTTTGTATGCATTTCATTAACAAAAAGATAAAGAGTACAATGTTTTAAAACTTTGCTGTTCCAGGCAACCTTATTCCTGTTCCAGTGTTGTGGTCGAGTACTTTCCAAGTACCAACGTTCTCCGCAAAATA